GCAAATTATTATTCATTTAGCGTGCTCTGATTTCAGTTCTAAAGGTAATCCAGAAAAAAGGGAGAGGGATTTCTGTTTTATCAGCATTGTTTAAGAACTAAGATCCCTTAATTATCACACTGTACCAATAGTCTGCTTCCCAACTTAGTGAAGCAGTCATTCAGCTTTGAAACTAACAATTTACCCTCCAAGCAAAGAAAGATATAAGAAAAAGTGTTTAGTCAGCAAGCAAATACACCAAATTGTATGTTTTGGCTTTTGTTGGTGTTCATGTTTCTGAGCTGTGCAAATGCGAGTCACTTACACAATACCCTTCAATCAAAGGCATCAAAGCAAAGGAGACAGATTTCACAAGAAAATCGAAAGAAAAAAAAAAAAGGCAAAGGTGAAATAAAGCTTCGTAAGATCCAGTTCTTTCAATCTCCTGAACCTCTTTCCAGGGTCTTCCTTTTTACTTAACATGGATAGACTCTTGATCTTACTGCTTGGTGTAATTTCTCATCATGGTTATGAAGAATTAGGTAAGATACCTGATAACTTTGTGGAAGTATTATAGATTCTTTTATGAGGAAGTTACTACTGTGTTTCTTGATTCATAACAGTAATTGGCAATCCTCATAATTACCGTTAAAGCTGGCCAAAAATGAAAAAAAAATTGTTTCATGAAATACTTTTATGTCTTGGAATGAAAACTGCCTCTTTCAAGGAAATTATTAATTTCCTAAGAATCCAGAAGACTCCAGGACCTACAGCAGTAATGGTAGAGTACTTGAAACAGGTTAAGTTTCTGTTCTATCTGAAAGGGTGGTCAGGCATCGCAATGGGCTGCCCAGGGAAGTGGTGGAGTCACCATCCCTGGAAATGTTTAAAAGACACGTAGATGTGACACTTGGGGACATGGTTTAGTGCTGGGGCTTGGTAGTGCTGGGTTAATGGTTGGAACTGATGATCTTAGAGGCCTTTTCCAACCCAAATGATTCTATGATTGGGAGATTCAGCCTCTTTAGCCGCTGGGACTTCTCTCCTGCATGTCTGAGCTGTCAAGGAAATTTTATCAAAACAGATATTTTCTTGGTAATATTTTTTGTTTGCTGCATTTTCTTTTTTTTTTTTTTTAGGAAAAACTTTTCCTGCAAAATTTTCTCACTAAACCTATTTCTTGCATTAAAAAAAAAAAAAAAAAAAAAAAAAAATCAGACAGTAGCCATATTACCAAAAGCACAAAACATTACTCCATTTTTTCCATAAAATGTAATCCGTGTGGATGTGTTGGCAGTTATTGTTTGGACTCCTTGGAAAGTAAATTTAGTGTGCTTAGATTGGATATGTTTGTTGTGTGGTTTTATTGCAAACAGATAAATGTTCTCCTGCGCTACTTTTTTTACAGTAGGTGTTTTCCTCCTGATGTCAGTGGGACTAATCATGTAAATTAAAATGGCTTTATGGGAATAAGGGTTGTGCATCCTGCCCTGCTTTATGCCAGCCAGAACTGAGGAGCAGCCACCTCTGAGAGAGGGAGAACAGCAGCTGCCCAGCAGCTCTCAGAAATGGTGTGCAATCCTTTAAGTTGAGCTTAAACAAAGGTGCTGGACTTCTTTGGAAAAATTACCCAGACGTAAAACCTAATTTGCTGTGTTCTGATTTTATCTTTCTAACCGAAGTGGCATTTTGGTAAGGTGAATAGGAGAACCCCCATTATGTTTGGTTGGTTGGGTTGGGTTTTTTGGAGAGAAACAAATGGGCTTGACATAACTGGTTTTCTCTGCACATCCCATCGTATTTAATCTTTCGACACAGCTGCTTGCTTACAGTACAGTTTGGAATACTGTCCCCTGAAAAACTGACCCTATTTGTTTCTCGCAATCTGGCAGAAAACTACCATATTTATGAGGGTTTTTTTCATGCAGACTCTTAGAGTGCTTAATAGGGGTGGCAAATATTGTAATAGAAATGGAAAGTATTCCCAGTTCTTAGCAAGATAAGGAAATGTTGTTTCTTATCTGTGATTTGAAAAGAGATGAAGGGTCAGTGAGGTAGAGATACATGAAAGCTATTGCACACTTGGTAGAAGCTGCAAAGGACGAATATCTCTCACCAGCGGCTTGTTTGAGTGGAAGGGAAGAGAAAGAGGCAGCTCCTAAGTAAAGAGAGAGGATTAGAAAAAATGTCAAGTAAAATCAGAGAAATTTGTTGGTTTGTTTGCTTAAAGAAACAGGTACACAGCTTTGAGAGGTTAGTGAAAAGAAAAGAGCAAGTCAAGTTGAGGGCAGCTTTAAATGCTTGCCTGTTGTTGACACTTTGGGATTTATAAAAATTCATAGGTCTTTGGAGATAGCTGAGAGAAGCAAGGAGAATGGGACAGGCTCTAAGACACCTCTGATTTTGAGGGATTGCATGGAAGTACAGGTCAGTCTGCTGGTCCCCAGATGTAGCTTGGCCAGGGCTTGCCTTTTCTTCCCAGCTGCCTCAGCGTAACTGTGTCAGAGAGGTAGGCAGTTGTGCTGAAAATGGAAGGGGGAAAGTTTTAGGCTACGCCTATCCCATCAAGAGCAGCTCCTTGGAAGCCGTTTTTTCTCAGCAGTGCATTCAGGAGCTATGAAAATGGGCAGAGTTTGATTTCAAGATGCAGAATACATGTGCCAAACTTGGTGGTGAGGGCTGGTTGGGTCAGCATAATTAAATAAATTCTTCTCCTCATAATCCTCAGCAGACTTGCAACTGATTGTCATCTAAAGTAAGCTACAGGAGCTGCTGGCTACCTGGCCTGTGCTGGCATTTCGGTTGGAAAAGGAGCTGATGCCCCAATATCTGCCTGCCTCTGCCTTCTTCTGTAGAAAGCAGAAGAGAGCTGTCCTAAGCACCTTTTTGTTGTAGTGTTACAGTAGCAGTGGATTTGATCATTGTGGTGAGCTATTTTTTTCTTAACACATCAGCTTTTGTCTTGCATTTGTTTGCACACCATTCACCAATAAGCAAAAGGTGCATGTCCTGTACTGAGAGGAGTAACAGCCTCTCATGGGCCTGGGGACCTGGGCTATGAACTTAGGTCCTAAAAAATTCCTGAGTGTGTGCTAACTAGAGAGTAAGTCCTTTGAGGAGAGACTGAGGGAGCTCTGGTTCTTTAGCCTGGAGAAAAGAAGGCTCAAGGGAGACCTTATCACTCTCTACAACTACCTGAAGGGGGGTTGTAGCCAGGTGGGGATTGGCCTCTCCTTCCAGGTAGCAAGTGACTGGATAAGAGGACATAGGCTCAAGCAACACCAGGGGAGGTTCAGGTTGGACATATAAGGAATTTCTTCATGAAAGGGTTACTAAACGTTGGAATGGGCTGCCCACGGAGGTGATAGAGTCACCATCCCTGGAGGTGTCCAAGAAATAACTGGGTGTGGCACTTAGTGCCATGGTCTAGTTGACAAGGTGGTGATCAGTCAGAGGTTGGACCTGATGATATTGGAGGTCTTTTCCACCTGAAATGGTTCTGTGTTTCTCCTACTGCTGAAGAAAACCTTATTCTTAAGTAATTAAAATACATGGGAAATGTGTGGCCAGGCTTTCCCCCATTAGACTGACAGCTACAAACTTAACTAAATTTAAACATGAAAATTGAAATTCTGTATGCAGCTGACACACATGAAGTTGAAGCTTCATGTGCAACAGTATTGCAGGGTGATGGTGTGCAGCCTGAGTGGAGGCCACTCAGATTTTATGCAAGTGAGCCTTTTGCTTGACTCAAAGAAATTACATGAATGAATACCAACATCAGACAGCCATTTTCCAAAAAGGTGCTGCAGAATGTTTCCCGGTGAAGATTTTTACAGTCAAGTCAAGGACTATAAAGTCTTTAACTGTATGTACACAAAAGGCTACTGTCATTTATCTATATACAATGAATTATTGCATATAGATAAGTGACATCTCTTTCAGGGAAGGGACAGGCTGAGGGAGCTGGGCCTGTTCAGCTTCAAGAAGAGGCGACTGAGAGGGGACCTCATGAATGCGTATTTGTATCTGAAGGGAAGGTGTAGAGGATGGACCAGGCTCTGCTTGGTGGTGCCAAGCAGTAGGACAAGAGGCAATGGGCACAAACTGACACACAGGAAGTTCCACCTGAACACGAGGAAGAACTTTTTTTTACTGTGTGGGTGACCAAGCACTGGAACTGATTGCCCAGAGAGGTTGTGGAGTCTCCTCACTGGAGATATTCAAGAACCATCTGCATGCAATTCTGTGCAATGTGATCTGGGATGACCCTGCTTGAGCAGGGAGGTGGGACCAGATGACCCACTGCGGCCCTTTCCAACCTTAACCATTCTGTGATTCTGTTTCATATCACATAATAATAATAACTTGAGGCTCAGAATTTATTATAAAGCAGGAGGATTTCTTCTGAGAGGGTGATGTCTCTTTGGGACAAGGAGATGAGGAACAGCTCCACAGCACCTGTAGTAAGAATAACGGAAAAGGACAAGCTTGTCCTCCCATTTATTCTTACTGGGATGTGTGCACAGTTTGCCTTCTTTGACAAACGAGTACATAGGCTAAAGTTTTGGAGCTGCACACTTAAAACTTGTATTTTACTTTTGCACTGAAGAGTAGAAGTAGCTAAAATAGCTGGTAGTGCATGTTGCTGAGCTTCTAATAGTAACAGATTTCAAAAATTATTCTTACTTTTTGGAGCTAGTAGAATGCTTGAGAGATTTATTTCTAGCAGAATTTGCATTCCATATAATTTGGATTTAATAACATGGTATAACACAGGCAAAAGAGTTTCTGAGTATGTGACTCTACTTTTCCATGGCACAGTATGTATTTCATTTTAATTTTTGGTTGCATGCTAAGAAATTAATATGTAAAGTAAGAGTGAACTGATACTTATAAGGAAAGCATCAGAGAAGTTGAATAGTCATTTTACTGGGTTAGTATTTAAAAGTGGAATATTTCTGGGTGGGAAAGGGCTTCAGAATGGGGCAATTCACGAACCACTTCTTCCCCTCCTACAGCTAATTCAGAGACAGCAGGTGTGTAAACAGCCCCTGGGAAAGAGGACCAAGTGTAGTTTCCGACAGAACTGAATGGAGATGATCCCAAGCTGAAAGTCAAAACAGGATCTTCTTTTAAGTTCATCGAGTGACCTACAATTTTATTCCAGCGCCTAACACAGGTAAGAGACTTCTACAGAATCTGCATCTGCAATTCCCAAGGTGTTTTAACATGTGAATCCTAACTCTTATCCATTGGTGCCTTCAGGTTTTGAAGCTACTGGTACAGTGCCAGGTACTAGTACCAGGTTTTGGGTGGTTTTATTGGGCTTTAAGGTATCTCTTGGCAAAATCAAGTCAGAGGGTCATGAAGCATTTGTCAGCAATCCTACAGTAATGAGTTCATACATAGAATATGTTTGGGACCAGAATTTGAGATTAAAAGAGAACTGTTGCTTAAATCTTTGTATCTCATTTCCCTGTAAATCGGGAGAGATTTGTTTGAGTTAAGCAAAAGGTCTATATCAAGGTGGGAAGTGTTGTTGGCTCTTGGCTCCTTGCTGGAGCTGATTGCTGAAGAAAGCAAATTTGGTCCTGAACTGTGTTGCTGTTACAGAATATACAAAAAAAAACGGCAAATGAAACCCTGAGAAATTCCAGCTTGGCTTTTGAAATGTTGTGTATAAACACTAGGGATCTGTCTGAGAGAGGATACCTGCCCCATCCAGGCTGGGCCAGCTGCAGGCAGCTGTGTGGCAAACTGATGTTACTGTGCTGATGGGCAGAGAGGCTTCTGGGAGGCGGGGGGCAGGAATTGATCTCTGTGTTGCAGGTCTCCGCCTCGAAGTTTCTTTCTTGTTCCTTTTCAGTTTCTATGGGCTTGCTCTTGGCATGAGGGGCATACTTGGACTTTTCTTTATTCTTTATGTAGAATAACTGTGCAGTCCATATAAAATGCCCTGCTGTGTGAGTTACTTGAGAAGTCACGTTCGGTGAGGAGTGGGGGGACATGCTCTGTGTCTGCTCACTGGAGGGACAGTTTATTTTAGATCATGAAGACTGATGGCTGCTTTGCTCCCTCATCATTATCATCATTTTATTGGGGGTGTGAACAGCAAGGAGATATGGGATTTTATGCTCTGTGGCTTAGTTTTGGTCAGATAAGTCTTCAGGGTGGGAATATCCTTCTTCCCCACCTAATGTACCCACAAGACCCCCGTATTAAGATGTAGGCAGAGCACTGAAGGTGTACAACACATCCTGTTTTACACTCCCCCAGTGCTGTTTGTTGTCTGTGACTGTGTGATGCTGAATGAAGCACAGCAGTTTGTGGCTTCTGCTGCTGCTGGAGAAGACCCCCCTCAAAATGAGGAGCTGCCTCTGCAGCTGCATGGGCAGTCAGAGCCAGGGAGCTTCCATGGGGCATCAGCCACAAAAGCTGCTTTCTGACAGATAGTGTCCTTATTCCTTAATCATTAGCCCTAATGAAGGGGTTTTGTCAAAATGGGGAAAAAAAAAAAAAGAGGGAAAAGAAAAAAGAAACTGAGAAAGAAAAGAAACAGACAAGAAGGAGAAAAGATGGGGAATAGTTAGGATTATCTCTGTGCCGTCTCTCAGGTCCAGTGACAAGACGACTACAATGGGCAGCTTTCAGGACTGCATATGGTCTTCCTTCCGAGGGAGTTGATTAAGCGACTCCGGATGAAATTGAAATCCTGTGATTTGACCTTTGTCTGGCCTGGGAGGACTGCAATTCGCATAACAATTTCCTTTTGTTCTTTGTTTGGAGTTATTAATCCAACATGAGCCTCGAATTAATCAGGGGTAGTGCGTTGTTACATTTCTAATTCACAGCTCCACTGCTTGTGTCTTTTTTAATTAAGGCCGAATGATAGCAGGCCTTAGCCCCTGATTGCAACACTTACTAACCACACATTGAGGGATGAAGAGGCTAAATAGGCAGAATGAGATTACTTCAAGGTTTCACTTAATTGTTTTCTTCCTTTAAGTAAGGAACACTGAGTGAAGGTTTTTAATGCCAGGCTGGGAGGGTTTTTTTATGTGTGTGTTACGTGTGTGTGTATGTGTGTGCAGGGGCAGGGGAGGTTATGCCTGGTGCACCAAGGACTCAGAGCTCTAATGGCTCAAGGGTTTGTAAAATTGAAGCCTTTGGTTATTGATTTAAACCATTCCTCCCACCTCCCCTGGGGGCCAGGGGCAAGGGAAGGAGGAATAGAGTTGAAGAGCATTAAACTTAAGTTAACTGCATGGATTTTCTTGTGTCCTGCGTGAACCCACTTGTTTATGTAGTTTTTTCTCGCCGTTTGCTACTGGTTCAGAGGTAGAAAATGCAGGAAGATTGAAGGCTATAAGAGATGCTAAAGAAATGTGTTGAGACACACAAAGGTCTCCAAAGCCTGGGAGTGGTGTAATAATGATAATAAAATAAAAGCGAGCCAGTTGTGTCACACACCAGGTCTTGCTCATACTGGAGGACGTTTGAGTCATGTTTCAAATGCTGCTTGTAAATTTGTACTTCCAGAGCAGTTCAAGGCCACAAGGGCTCAGGTGCTGTTCCAGGGGAACAGTGTAGATGATCTCGGTTAGATTCATGCTGTATAACTCAGTCTGTGCCAGCCACTCGGGATGCTGGAAAAGAAAATGCACTGAGTGCCCATTTATTTACACAAATAGTTCTGCTAGCTTAAAAAAAAATAAGAGAGGGATGACAGGATTCATATTGCAGGATCAGGCCCAGTGTTTTGGCCTCCTATGGTGTGGTACATTGGATATGATTGCTTTGGAGAAAGGTTAATATTTATAGTCCCAAACCTTCAGATGCTGAATATACAGAAATCCCACTGAATTCAGTTTGTACTGTGTGCCTGCAATATCAGATAGAGCTCTGTAATTGTGGGAAACTAACTCTTACTGACTTATTTCATCCATCCAAGAAGCTGGATGGATGGGGGAAGCACTTGCTTGGAAGAGTTAATGTTTCTGTGTAAAATGGCAAGCTGGTGTTAATTATACCAGGCTGTAGATATAGAGCTGCTGTTCTGACTCTGGCACAGGATACACAGGGCAACAACACTGTTCCTGCTTTTCTAAATGCTTGATGTGCAGTGGCTGTTCCACACAGGGTTATCTAAGAATGCAAAGATAAAACCTCTAGATAGATTAAGGTGTAAACTCCAAAGGAGAAAAATGTACCAGGTAAAAGCTTATTTCTGTGTTTAGAAATCTAAATTGTAAACTGGGTCTGCTTTTTTAGATGAGCCTGAAAAGGACAGTCTATATTCAGCCTTCCATAGAAATGTATATAGTATGTGGAAACAAAAAACAAGCTAACGCACAAATCTTTAGGCCTTGCTTTCAGTTGGTGCAAAGAAGCGCTAGTGACTTCTGTGATCAGTAACATCAACACAGGATTTACCCTGAATTGGGTTCACAGGTTCAAAGGCATTTTCTTCACTTTCCTGCTCTTTTCTTAGGTGCTGCCTGATCCTGTGTGTCAGGATACTTCTGGTAGATTGCCAGCTCCCGTGCTGGGAGAAGTCAATGGGATAAGAAGATGCTCAGCATTGGTTGGAGTAGGGCTACCTGACAACCAGTTCAAGTACCTTACACATTATTTTGTTTTTCAGAACCAGTTTTGATGCTCTTACGTTAAATAACACCTTATCCTGCAATTGAATCAGATTTTGCATGGAGAGAATAATATTGAGTAAGCACATGAGAACTTGACAATCAAATCACTTACTGTTGTTTATTTCCATTTAAAGACTGAAGGCTTACCATTTGTCACCTTGTTCTCTTTTTTCCTAGAAATCTTTATAGATGTTTGTTTCTAGCAGACACAATTCCAGAATGAAAATTGACTTTTAGTGCCATTCTGTGTTTTAAATCTGCATGCTTCTTTTTTTTTTTATTATTGTTTGAATGTTCGCTGCTGTTGATTTAAAGGTGTCACATTACACTTCCAACGGGTCTCAGGATGAATAGGTACCCCCATGTGTTTCTTGTGTGAGTGTTTTGAATAACATCTTAAAACCCAAAGCCCAGTCTGTTCTGTCTCATGGCAGTGGTCATTAGAATGGGCATATTTGGGGTACTTCTAAAATCTCCTTCTTCCCCTTATCCTTGTTACAGCATAATGTTCATCACTGATGTATTCAGTAGCTCTCCTGAGCAAAGTCATAATACCATTTAAGTGCTTTGAGATCCTTAAAGATGAAAGAAGTTGTATAAACAGATGGCAGTTGTATCACAGTGCTTCTTGGGATGCTTAACCCTTGACGTGAACTGTCTTGCAGGACCTTGCTGTACAGCTGGGGCCAGGTACCCTGTCAGTAGTTTTCAGCAGTTGGCGTGCTCTGTATAATATGACATTTCCGATTTTTTTCAGTTACTCTGTGAAGGAAATTAGGCTTCTTGCCATACTCAGGAACCAAAAGACCAGGCCAGGGGGTGTGATAATGCTTTCCCATCCTTGCCCAAAGTGGCTATAGTTGCACTTATTTGAGGGACAATCCATTGATCTGTAGTTCTTGAATATTTGCAGCTGCACCAGTCAGCACTGATGAGTCCACACATAAAAAAGGAAGGACTTCTGCTGCTGCTGTTCTTCCTGACAGTTTTAGACAATCTGTTGCTATTTATTAAGTATTTCTGTGGGGATCAAAACTGCCCTGAACTGTCCTCTCTCCTCTGGCTCCAGCAGGGATGTACTCCTCACGTCTGCAATGACAAGTCACCCTCGTGCAGCAAAACGCCAAATTTCATCAGCGGTGCACCAGCCTCTCCTCCACCGTGTGTGGAGGTGCTGACACTCCTTCCCCTTGAAACCAGTGGCAGGTTGGCCCCGGCCCGTTCCATTTCTGTGCTCTCCCCTTTCGGACATAAGGTAGAGATTACGATTTAATGGTCCTTTGAGTTGCTCGGCGCTCCTCCCTCTGCGCTGTCTCCCCGCGATCCCCCTTCCCGCGCCCTCCCTCTCCCCCCCTCGTCAATGGGAGCCTTTGATGTTGCACAAGAGAAGACTGTTGGCTAACAGTCTGGAGGCTGCTTCGTTTGAGCTCACCACCACATGAAAACAAATGCGATCCATCATATTTCATTAACTAGCTGCCCCCTGTTCGGGTGCCCTTTTTTGATGTCAGAGCGCATCCTGACAGAAATC